CAGTCAGAAAGGCACTCACAGGTGGGCACTGAGCCAACTTGTCTGCTGCCACCATCTGCACATTTAAATGCTTGGCCTGGGACTTGCCTCTGGATTTAATGAGTCTCTGGAGAACCTGTGAGAAAGAACAAATTAAATAAAGGGAACACCGATTTCAGACAATAACATTATTTCTAGTAAAGTTGTTACACCTTCCAAGAAAAGTTAGATAACGACTTGTGTTGCTCAGCCATAATCTGATTCACCTTATGGTAAGGTTTGGACTTTGGCAGACAAAGTCATGCTTATGCAATTTCTAACTTAGTAACAGCGTCTGTTACCGACATCCATTTCTGAAATTGTTAATGTTTAAAACAAATGCAGATGTTTGTGATTTTTCTTTTTTACAGTAAAAGCCCCTTACTCATTAACACTTCAAGTAAGGTTGTAAAGGTTCCAGAAATATCATCAGATTTAGGATTGTTGATTTATCTCAATTCATCACGATTAATCATGATTGATCCAAAGATCCCCTGCGATTAATCAAATTCGTTTGTGTTTTATTTAAATCTTTGACAGCCCTGCTAAAAAAATAAAAAAAGAAGTATTGTCTACATGCATACCTTAAAGCAGACTAGGGCAAACTGTGGCCCGTGGGCCAGATATGGCCCGCTGGGCTTTCTTAATCGGCCGGCTAAACACTGGTGTATTTTATGGTAACGACTGATGTCAATCTTTGTTTTGTCATGCATTAAAACAAATTCACTGCAATTGCTGTTAATGGCACTAAATGGCAGCAGACATTAAATGTGCTAAATTATCTTTGAATGTTTAGGCAGCATTCTACATCCAACTAATACTGAACCAGTCCATCCTTAGTTTTGGCCCACCCCGACCAACCAATGCCTCTGCACTCATACCTTAGGTGAGGCTATTTTGATATAGACGATGATGGGCGCGAGGGAGGTCTTAGCCAGCTGAGAGGGGTGGTTGATGGTGTCTGCATCCAAAGCCACCAGCTGCAGGGTACGGGCCAGCTCAAAGATACGCTCGATCTCACTCTGTACCTCCGCTGCAGGCCCGGGACACAGAAATGTCCAGTGAATACAACAAACAAACAAACAAACAGTGATTTTCTATTTGCGTCCAGGTGTCAAACAGCAGCAACATCTCTACATAAAACTGATGTGTTAGTACTTCATCATGCATGTGGACGTTTTAGAAAAGAACACTTCCAGGTTTTATGACTGGATCACAGTGTGAACGTTCCATTTATGCACAGCTAAATGGAGCAGCGCAGCATCATTCTGTTCTGCCACCTTCTGAAATGTATGATTGTCTCATGTGCTTCTGATAATTTGTACTTCCAACTTGCAAATGAAGGAGGCACTTGAGAATGAGATGCCTGGGAACACTCGGAAAAATAACAATAAGGACACAAAATGTAGAAAAAACTGAAAGAAAGAAAAACAAAGAAAGGAGAAGTCCACCTCAGTAACACAAAGGTGGGACATTAGTTTTTGTTAGAACTACTGTGTAAATAAGTGAGTATTCTATCAGCTAGAAACCACTCCAGTCTGTGGACGGCTGTGTTTTTATTGTTCCTCTTGTTCGACGGCTTTTTAAGTGCATTATTTGTATATATTCTGGCTGACCTAAAGCTATGAAGTCTGTGACGATTCTCATTCATCCAGGTCATGTTATCCAAAGAGTTTAGTTGTAAGCGACTGGACTTCTTCTTGGATCTTGAAGGAAGTTTCGTTCCTCAGCTGAGGAACTTGAACCCTAGTAGTTGTACTTCTCTAGACCAGTGTTTCCCAAACCTTTTTTCTGGGGAGCCATATTTTAAAAGTCACAAACCTTCACGACCCAAGTCAATACACATTATTCGTAAACTCCTGGGAAACATGACGTGAGACGACCCCCCCCCAAAAAAAAAAAATCTCTTGAGACCCAGTCTTTGGGAAACAATGCTCTAGACCACTCCTTTTTCTACTTTTTCTACTTGACATGGAGTCACATGTCAATGTGTAAAAGAGTCGAACGAAAACGTCCTTCAAGCTCCAAGAATAAGTCCAGTTGCTTACAACTAAACACTTTGGATGTAGCCTTTAAGGCTAATTTGTGTCTATTTCCAGCTAATTTTAAAGATCAACGTCCCTTAGCTTAGCCTAGACTTAAAAGGACCCCCCCTCCCCCTGCCAGCTGTCTCTTATTTCTGATCTCAGTCTGCAGGTCATGTTCCTTCAGTGTCAGGCTACCTGTCCATTAACCTCCATGCAGACCTGGACACTGATTACTATCATGGCTCAAACTGAGTAATTCTAGTACATCGCAGAGGCAGCATGGCAGGTCACAGTGTGCAGCAGTGTGTGTGTTTTTTGCTTCCTCGTTCCTGCACAGAGTTAGACAGCCAACATCCAGCCGCCCCCGCTCCCCTCCTCCCCCTCCCACAGATCTGTTCCTGCTCTGGATTCTGTTGTGTTCCTTTTTGTTTGAGACTTCAGGCTGTCACAAAGAACTATGAGGAACAGAGAAAAACTGACAGACAAGCAAGACAAACTATGTATGAGCGGATGATGAATATAGTTAGGAAAACAAGGGGAGGTGGAGGGCGTCATTGTTTGGTTGGAAGGAAAGCATACGTACCCAGTACGTCTGAATCAAAAGAGAGTGGAGGAAGAAGATGAATGGTGGAGGAGGAACGGGGGAAGATGGGTAAAAAAGGGCAGAAAAAGACAGGATGAGGAGAGAAAGGAAAATCAGACTCAGGCAGTGAGAGCGAGGATAAATAAGGGGAAAATCTGACTGTACTGGCTAACACAACGCTACAGCCCTGTCAACTGTTGGGGATAAGAGATTTGAATAGTAGGAGACCAGTTCAGGAATCTGATGTGTTGTTTTCACACAGTCATGACACGACATCATGAATGAAACATGGCTGCTGTCATAGACCAGTCTGACAAAGAGTGACACATCAAGTTCGCCTCACTGGGTCAGTCCATGTCACATACAGCGGGTGAACCCAAAAAAAAAAAAGAAGCATTTTAAGACCTATGAAGTCACTGATGAGGTTCAGGAACTCTTGTGTGCAGTGATGTAATAATCATTGATTTTGTGGGCGGTTCTCAAAGCTATACAAACATCAGTTTCCTCCTTGCCTTAAGTTCACACAGGTCTGAGCAGTTCAGTTCAGTTCAGTTCAGTTCAGTTCAGTTAAACCAGGGTGACGCATTACATCTTAAGTCAGAGCAAAGGTAGGCGTTGCACCAAATTCAAATGCATTTTTTAGATTTAATTTTCTGGTCCTGCAGTAATTTTGGAGATATTGTAAACTGTTGAATAACAAGGTATTATACAATCATCCATTCATCCATCCTCCATCCATCCATCCATCCATCCATCCATCCATCCTCCATCCTCAAAGTAAATTATAGTTGATATGAAACACAGGACATTCACATGTAGATAGTAAGTTGTGACATAATGAACCTGAGTGGGACTGAAACTGCACTTTTGGGTAACGAGGAGCACGAGGAAGGAGAAAACGGCGTGATCTCACCGAGGCTGGAGCGAGTGCTGGAGCGCTCAATGATGGTGTGTTTGTTGGGGTTGTTGAGGACTGAGCGTTTGGCCAGGGAAATGTCCGCTGTGACTCGTGTGATGGATATTCTGGAACGGAGACGAGGAGCATCATTTGTTAGTGGAGTGCCCTTTGATTTAAAAAAAAATAAAGCCTTGTTTTCAGTCTTCGTTCTTACCTTCCCTCAAACTTGTGTTTGAGAAAGTCAAAGAGTGCTTTCTGCATCATGTCAGTGACCTAGAGTATGAAAAAAAACATTTAGGATGAAGCAAAGGAGCAGGATGTGATTAAAACAAAACAGAAACAGAAACTCTCCTGATGGTGTGACTCGCCCTGTGGATAAACTTCCTCACCTCGTAGCCTTTGAGTGAAGGTCCTACAAGGATGATGGGTCTCATGGAGGGAACCACGTCGTAGGGAGGAACATGCTCCATCTATGTATGGGAGAGAGAGTGAACCAGCTGTTAGAGCTGCCGTCATGTCGAGCTGGAACACACCTCCCAAAAACTCAAGACTGATTTAGGGCTGCACTTAAACTGAACACATAAATCATCATTAATCAACACAGAAAGCCCCGGCCCTCCTTCAGCTCTGTCACTGACGGATGGAAAAGATTCAGACGACGTGAGTTTGTTCAGTGCACATGACCGTCACGAGGAGGTGATTGATATTCTCACTGGAAACAGTCACTCACTCACTCCTGTTTTATATTCTGCAGCCTCATATAATAAAGTGTCCATAATTAAAGCGACTGACTTCTGGGCACAGGGGGCGCTCTTTGTCAAAGATCGTCATCTTTCACACTTTCTGTGGTTCTGTCTGGAGACAGTGTGGTCAAAATAAATGGACTGTGATTAGTGGCTACTGATAGAGCTTTATATCACTGTGTTCTATTACATTTATACAGATGTCATTGTAGAAGACAACAAACTCAAAGTATCTTTTTAATTATTAATCAAACAAGTTTGATGTGAAAAACACTTTAAACATTTTTTTAAAATGTGTTCCTGTTCATTTCATTTATAATATAATTTGATGTATATGTAGGACGAGCATTTATGTTGGTACGTTCGTGTTAACTGTTGACTGTTTTGTGCTCTTACAAAAGGAGACAGGATTTAACCGTAAAAATAAAACTGCGATTCAACAGAAAAACACCTACAGCCTTTGACTTCATCTTTCTTTCTCTCTCTGCCTCTCTTTACAGGGAAAATTAAAAACCACCCGCCCACGCACTAACGCTGATCCATATTGCTGCACACAAACTTGTGGCTCCTACATATATTCTGAATCATGAACGCAGTGATTCACCCATGGAGACTCCACAAGCATCTGTCACACATCCTCTACTGTATGTCACTGTGAAATAGGATTTTTTTTTTCTTCACAATTTTCTCCCTTTAGACCTGTATTCTGTGCTCGCCCACTCCTGTGTGTGTGTGTGTGTGTGTATCATGCAGCTCTTCAGGCAGCAGGCAGTGCTCAAGTGCCTTGTTCCACTACATTACATCACATAAAGCAGAGCATCGGAAGCTCATTTCGCCTCATTTGTATTCACACGGGCTAAAAATACAAATTTCAAAAGTTTCTAAATGGCTCTTGTCTGTGTGGGGGCAGAGATGAAACGGAGCGCGTAACAACAAAGTTCATCGTCAATACTGTGAGCTCAGTGAGCAGTTTAATGTGTTAAGAGACTCATTTTGTATGTGGACGGTGAACATGACAAACTGATGGACGCTTTGCCTGTACTGCAGCAGTGTGTCACAATACTAATGCTAACGTGGGTTTATGCTAATTTTGTATAATCTCAAGGATGTAGCTACTGATGCTAAATACTGGCTTTTCCTGTTTTTTAATCTACCATGTATACAGGGAGAGTTGAAAATGTTATCAATTCATTTTTTAAATAATTTGTGAAATTTTAATAAAATGTTAATGTTTGGCCATAGGTTTCAATGATGAAGATTTAAAATTAATATTTAAAAAAATAATCCATATCTTTTCTTTCCAACATTCAAGAACATATTTAACTCTCCACATTCAAATGTCAACTTCATTTACCACCTGCTGTTGAAGCAGTTATTTATCATCATTGAGCTGAAAAGCACGAAACTGCCCGTTTCAAGCTTCTGTCACTTGAATTAGACTGAAAAAGATGCTCTGATTCACACCTGGATCCCTGCACTGAACGCTGCACCTGTGAGCGAGCTGAATCTGAATCTAATCAAGTTTGAAAAAACTGAGGCAGCTATGAAAATATAAGAGGACAACAGACGGATGTGCGTTGAAATGTTAGAGGTTAGTGTTAAAAAGTCACTCACCGACTTCTGTTTCTGTTTAGCTGGGCCACCTACAGTGTCATCACACACAACAGGCCAAAGGAGACAAAAAAAAGCACAAAACACAAGAGCACATTTAGTTATCAACAGGTTAGGACTGGAGGTGTGAGAAGCTGGAGAGAAGCTGTGTTGATTTGATTTAATCGGAGTTAAAACATACAACCGTCTCAGTGGAGTCAGATTGATAGAAAGCAGCAGCAGCAGCAGCATCAGGCATTTCAGAGTCAGTTAGTTCAAAGTCTCAGAATCAAACATCCAAACATATCTCAGCGTCACATGACTGGACACTGGACGGTTCAGTTGTGAGTTAGTGAAAAGTGGAAGGACAGATTGACCTGATCACATCAGAGGGAAGTGGGAGGAAGGGGGGAGTGCAGATCAGGGGGAGGGGGTCACTGCTAGGAGAGACGCTGTGACCACAGTCCCTAATGTTACCTTCTTAAAGAAAGGCAGTCGGTGGGTGTTGGCCTGAGGGGATGTAACGCTGCCTGACATGTTCTTGGAGGAGCGAGGGTCACCCTGGGACTCAGGGGGTTCCTCGGCATCCAGGTCGAGGGGGTCAACATCAATGGTCACAGTGGATGTGTCCACATGAGCTGATGAGGGACGAGGGCGGGTGGTGTAGATAGAAAGGGAGGAGAACGGAAAAGGGGTTAAGAAAAAAAAGGACAGGTCGAAGTGGCAGAGAATTTAAAGAAACAACAGAAGAAAAAAAATAGAAAATGGGGGAAGGAGAAAATAAAGAGAGGAGAGCAAGAGATGCATTCAGAAAAAGGCATGGAGAAAAACTGCAAGAGACGACACACACACAGAGAGAGTCAGCAATGGTTTTAACTGAGAACAGCAGCAGGAGACTGGAGAACCACATGGTACGTAGCTGGTGTAGAAGAGAGCGTGTGAGAGGAAAAGTAGAGCCAACGTGAAAGAACTGGTCACAGAAAAGGAAAGGAGCGAAGGAAGGAAGAGGGAAATGAGAAGAATGGATGAGGTGTGGGGGTGTGTGTGCGGGTGAGTCAGGATCAGCAACAGTGGGGGGCTGGGGCAAAATACCTGTAAATATCTGGAAGTGACCTTTAAATCGATTAGACGACAGGTTTAGTGATAACTCTCTAAGATCGAGCAAGAAATAGCTCAGAAATAGCTAAATGCTAGCTGCGATAACAGATGGCTAACATTTGAGCAAAGGACGCTTAGATATCGAGAAATGTCTAAACATTAGCTTAGAAGATAAAGGTTTATTCAAAAGGCGAGCTAAATTAAGAAGACATTGCTTAAAGGCAAACAATTGGTCAAAAGATCAGCGCTAAAATGAACGAACTTTTAAATAAAATTCAACCAAATCAATAGTTACTAAGTAACAAAAATGGTAAAAAAAAACCAAAGTTAACTAATAAGTTAGCTAAATTAGCTAAGACACCAAAATGTAGCCCAAACGAAGCTAAATGTTAACTGTAATATTATACAGTTATTGAACTATGAAGGGCCCAACAGCACCCCCTGCAGGAGAAACTGGATCTCGTTTTTAATTAAAATATTAGGATTAGGATTAAACATTTAATTAAGATCAGCTAAAAACAGCAATTATTGATTGTAAACTGCACTATTTTAAAAGTATAATAAAGTCTCCAGTTCACGCCACGATGGTGAGAGAGTTAAACCAGAGGTTGCTTTATTTACTTCCAATCAGACAGTCTATGCTGCAAGTCTCTCACTGCTGCTAAACTAAATGGACAAAATTAATCATTTACTTCTCTGAGCAAAAACCAATTAGTGTTCACTCTTTTCATTTCACAGCTCCAAATGAAGCAGATGGCGAGGCAGATGGAATTATTTCATTTAACAGGTATCAGGTTCTGTTCAGCAACTCTGATGGATTTATTAATAAAAAAAAAGTAGTAATTATCTTTGTACTTTGCAGATCCCTCTCTCTGGAAATGCGGTACCGTTTTGTGTCTCACGTCCTAATCATTCTTAAACACGCCGGCTGACTTATCGAGTTTAACGAGTGCGGCTCATTCTCAGCTCTATTCCCGTCCTCGCAGATCTCCCCAGACCTTTCTCACTTCAGCCGGTGAATCACTGACACGAGGTCTGATTCATCATCATGCCTGACTAACCAGCCAATTAAAACCATCCTCATCCAAGTGACATCCCCTCTTTCATCACCGGCTCCCGTGTTGACAGCATCGCACCGGTGCCTACATGAACACACACCCACAGACGACTGATTGGACCGAGACTCGGACCTGTGACCTCACCTGTGCCTGGTGGAGTGGGCCTGCGGGTTCCTGTTGCAACATCCAGACTGGAGCTTCCCCCAGATTTACTGCGGAAGAAAATGGCAAAATTATCAACTTGTAAAAATGACACATTATCATTGATTTTGCAATAAAAAGACTGAAATATTACAGAGAAACAGTCTTCATTATTTATTATTTAATTTTATATTTTTTATCTCTCTATATTTAATCTTACCCTTATTATTACTTCTTTATTTTTATTTAAGAAGTTAGCACAAACAACAGTCAAACTGAAGTAAGAGCCAATCAAAACAAGGCTAAATGCAAATTATAATTTTATTAAATATTATTGTATTATTTTTATTAATAATTAATAATAAAAACAAAATCTGAAATATAAAACATTTTGTTCCCCATTTTCTTCTTTGTTAATATGGAGAGAACATGTATTTGTATTTTTATGTATTTTTATTACTCATCATATTCTATGATTTATGTGTTGTACAGTTCAGTCTACCATGGCACTTTTTAAACCCAAATATTTAAAAACCCAGGGACAAACTTTGTAAGTGTACAATACATCTGCATAAATACAGTGAGTCACCACTCTGATTTAGTCTATTCTGGGATGTTTTCAGAGAGCCCAGCGGGTGAAGTGCGACTCATGTGTGACCAAGCTTTTCAAGTGAGCTCGTTTCTGTCGCTGACGTCGTACTTTCAGAAACACTTTTTCCTCCGTTGTACCTGGAGCTGAGTCTGTTCTGTCTCATCCGTTGTTCCTGCAGCAGACGGGTGTTCTCCAGTTTGACCGGGCTGGGAATGAAGCCCACTTCGCAGCCTTCTTTGACCAGACGCCCGATCCACCAGTCGTTGTTGTATTTCTGTATTAAGAACATATTAGGAAGCAGACGTTAGTGAGGCACGTTCCCAGGGCACGGCTTTAGCATTAGCGCGCCGTAATGCTTCCCTGAAGTACAACGGCACATTATATATATATATATATATATACATATATATATATGGCTAAGCTAAATAAAAGAAAGCTCAATAAAACTTAGTTTACCATATATATAAACATATGGGTGAAGTTTCCTATGTGTATATATATTATGTTATATATATATATATATATAACATTTAATATATATATATATATATATATAATTTTATATTTAATATTGATTCTTTTTTCCTGCCTCTCCAGTATAAGGATGTGTGACACTTGAATGTAAAAACTCTGTCTTAGTCCACGGTTCATCCAAACCTCTTTAATGTGCAGGAAGTCTTTGGCTTCAAAGGATATGGCCATGCCCTGCACAGGAACATCGTCGCTCGGGCCGGGGTTGTATCCCACATTTGTCCTCACAGCAAACGCCACTGGTTTGGTCTGCAGCAGCGACAAAGAAAAAGAAGAAGAAGACGTGTTAGTGACACGTTAAGGACTGATTGGCAGATTTCACAGGGATCAGTGTCTACGTGATTCTGGCGAAGAGGCGCAAATCACTAGATACTGACGTGAATCTTACGCAACAATGACGTCTATTGACCCCACAGTGAGAACAGCAGTTAGTTTCTGACCTTTGCTTTCTCTAGTGTGGCAAGTGCCTGTCTGTCAGCCTCCTTTCTCAGAGCCTCGGGGTCCTCCTCCAGAGACACGTCAGAGTCCGACGGCCGGCTGGTGTACGAGTCTGCGGAGCCCTGGAAAAGCATGAAGAAGACGTTTTTGTCAAGTTGAGGAGCAGATGCATGGAAGGTGGGGGCTTTGAGTTAAGGAACAAATCAACGGAGGCTCCATCCTTACAGCAGCCAAAAAATATCCACTTCATCCATACATATCATTATGAGGGTGATTTAAGGCTACACACATTTGGCAACAAAATGACTCGTTTAAAACACGATCAACTTTTTGAGTTGTTCAAAGTAATAATAATCTTCCCTAAGACATCCTGGAGTAACTAAGTCTTACTGAATATTGGTGGCCCAGGTTTTTATGGTCCAGCCCACATTTCAATGTGGGATTGGATGAGTGCTGAGTGGAACTAAAATGACAAACAGACTCCATTTGGGGCAAAAACAAATTGCACATTTGTGGCTAATGGACGACCAGTAACACCACTGATCTTTTGGTTTTTATGAGGCGTATGAAAAACGATATCACTCCGCCATTAACAGATCTAGAAACTGCAGCAAAAGGATGAAGATGTGTGTCATGGATCAGTCACCTAAAATGGACCACACATCGACCATTACTGTCTTGTTGCTGGAATATCAACATTGGACGACCTTTTCACACCATATACTGTACGAGGAGGGAATTTAGTGTCATTAGTTCCAAATGTCAGCCAGACGTGGAAAAACTGTGGGCTGGAAATGCATGTTGGGTTGTCAGGAAGTACTTCATCATCTGCAGAACACATACACTGGACGAGACGACCAAAACCCTCATGCATTAGTAAACCATACAGGATGAGCATCTTTTAGATAGAGGCTTTCATCCCATTTGCATTAATCCAAAATGATTTAACTCATGGAAACTAATGATTGTCATTTGGTAACTATTCAAACTATTCAAATATAAATGTCATAGGAACAAATGGAGACGTTACAACCGGCTAACAAAGCTAACAAGTCGCTAACGAACTTCCTATCATAAACATCATATTCGGTTGCACTTTTCACATTTTTGTATCTTATTTTAAGGTCAAAGGTCAAAGACCTAACGTTGGATCCATTTGCCCAACGTACGATCAAAGTCTAATTGACAGTTGGAACTCGTCTCAACCTTGTACTTCAGCTACAGTTACTTTACAGTAGCTCTGACATTTGACAACATGCTAACCAACCCCTGTGTTTGTGTTGGAGTCATTAGTGCTCGAGCTTCAGCCAATTAATGACATCCCGAACACTGTGTTCAACTTTTAAAATGTCTACATAAAACCGGGGGCAAATACCTGCTCATTATCTTAGTGTCTGAGTGTTTATGTTGTGACCCCAATGTGAAGCATAGCTCAAATAATCGCAGAGAGGCCGCGTCCGAACAGCCTTCAAGTATTGCATGAAGGCTGACGGTGTGAAATCTGAGAGGACGTATGAAGACGGGCCAGTGTTTCCGCTGCGGTGTCAGTCAGGCCACACGTTAAATCACACAACTACTGAAGATTTGTTGTGTGGGTGAGTCAAAGAAAGACAGAAAGATCTGGAGGCCTGAGGACTGTTTATAACATTAGTGGAGATATAAATTTCTCATGAAGTGGATACAGTTTCCAACACATCCACCACTCATGTACAGTAACTTGACTCTCTGCCGATGACCCTCATCCAGACTCCCATACCACAATAAAAACTTGAGCCTCTTTTGAGCCTGCGGCGTCAGCCTACTGTACTGTTCAGTGGAGCGCCGCAGTGAGGGAGGCAGCCTGAACTTCTGAAGTGTTAGAGTGTTCGAATTTATATAACAATCCCACTTGTTCTGCACTTGCAGTTTT